AAAATCACGAAAATTCACAAATTATTTTAAACTAGAAATTCATAAAAAATTTTCTTTTTAAATCTAAGATTTGAAAATTGTTAATAATCTATAATATATCCTCGACAGATAAACCGTCTCCGTTCAGAATCGTTTTTYGTATACAATGATACCTATCATTGCTTTCAAATTTAACTTACCCTAGTCAGAAGTCCACCCCACCGGCACCCACAATGTACAGCAGAGCGATACCCACTWACCCGTTTTTTTTTAAATCGAAATTGCGCCTATGCGAGGTGCGATTACTTGTTAGTTGTTAGTAAGTCGAATTTAATAAGTACTTTAAAGACTATATTATAATTATTTATACTTACCTAATGGCTAATACCTATCTATAATGCATAAACATCATAAATACCTAACTGTCCTAAGTATAGGTACCTACTATCTATTGATAACTATGGTATTAATTATTATGGTATAAACGTTTGTATATTATTATGCGCCGATAAACGATAAGTATGGTAAATCCTATTGGGCCATTAGGAGCATGATATTAATGTAATAAATTTACGCACCCGACTTGTGATTAATATCGATGTTTTTCTTTACCGGTCGCGTTGTTCAAAAGATGCTGACAATGTCGCAGTGGCGGGAATAYCGAGAGACATACACGTCCTTAACTCATCTGGTCAAGAAAATTGACGATCACATCAACGTCATAGTGGCGTTGTCAATAGGCAGCAACATTTATTTCATTTGCGCTCAGCTCATTACGGAAATCGAGTGAGACTATTATATTATGCAATTTATACATATTATAACATATATCATAATGTACGAGTGTGATTTTATAACATACTTGTGAATCGCCCCATTTTAATGCTTTTGTTAGTTCTATTAAATGTCATACATTTTTTTTTATTATTTAAATAAGGCTTCAACTCCTGAGGTTATTAGCCTGTAACAATTACAAAATAGTGGTAATAGAGTATTGGTCTTAAAACTATGGGGATACATTAAGTTTAACAAAAGAGGGAGTCTATAGAATATAATATGTACATTTGGTTATTCTTCGATTAGGATGCATTTTGAATAAGGCATGGTTAATCAATTTTTCCAAAAACTTTGCATGTAGTTATCATAATTCATAATACCTTATATTATCATAAATATACATATACCTGGTTTGAGGATAAATCGTTATCATTACGCGATTTCATAAAAATTTAAAACTCAAACGCTCAAAACATTTTTCCTATAA